GTCAAAAAAATTACATTAAAACTATTAAATTTAATTAAAGGGAATAAATAATTAAATATTATATATTAAATGGGTCCAGAAAAATTATTATGGTAGTTTAATTTTTTTTTTGCCCACATTATTATTTTTTTCAGTGCATTTCCAACTCATTTTGTGGAGAATAATATAATTTTTTGGTTCACATTATCAATTTTTTCTTATATGACATTTTCATGTCTTTTTTATGGAAAAAAATCAACTTGTTCTCTTAATTAACAAGTCATCTCAGCAAAAAGATAATGAAAAGACTAAAAAATGATTAAAAGGTAAATTTTAGGATTAAGAAAAATTTCTTAAGCATAAGGACAAATTTTTTTTTTTAAATATATGGGTTAAAAATAAGATTTTTAACCTTCTAAAAAGAAAAAGAATAGAGGGACACGTGGGAATCGAACCCTCAACGTCCAAGTCCAACTTGAAATGTTTTGCCACTTGGTGAACTGACACCGACAGGGAGACTTATAAATTATAAATTTTTTTTTTGAGGATAGGAAGACTTATAAATTTTTTTTTTTTGAACACAGGAAGACTTATAATTTAAACTATATAAAGACGAAAAAATGACACTAAGGGCTGTTTGATGCAGATGGTGGGAAAAGCTTTTTGATTTTTAAAGCACAAACTACACCGAACGAAGTCAACTTCTTAAAGTGGTTGCGGCTTTTGAGAAGCTTATTGAGAAGCATAACTTCTCAACTTTCTTTTGCAAAGGTCGGAAGCTCTCATTTTTTACTTCCGCGGGAGCTTCTCGCCTAAACGTTTAATAAAATTGACATAGCATTCTCATCTTGTCCTCACACTTCTTTTTATTTACAAAAAAACCACTATATATAGGTTTCAGTTATAACATCCCACCGCTCCTTTCTCGTGCAGCCCAGGTTAATGTGTTTCTTCCTGTCTTCTTAACCCTCTTCTTCCTCATCCAACCAGAAACCTAGGATTATTACCAAAAAAAAAAAAAAACAGAGACCCAGGTGCTGGGTTCGCCACGAACCCAATGAACCCAGGTGATGGGTTCTCGGGGGCAAACCCAGGTGGTGCTGGGTTCGCACGGGCGAACCCAGGTGTTGGGTGCTGGGTTCGTCGACGAACGTAGAGGTAAAAAAAAGAAAAAAGAAAAAACAACCGAAGGAAGAAGAAAGGGGAAATAAAACAAGTCCTCTGATCAAACAATAAAAATGGGGAGGCAGCAGAAACAAAAAA